TTTTGAGCTGAGGCTTAAAGGATAGAAGTGTTTTGGAGGCATGAAAATGAAGTGTGGACGGCCCAGGAAGGTGGAACGGCCTGGTCAAAAGCTCACACATGGAGGACACAATGACATGATGCAGAATGTACACATGTACCTACTACTGCTGGGTGCAGGGTGGAATGAGAGAAAATGAGATTGTGCAAATAGGCAGGGGCTGGATAAACGTCTGTACATATTATGCAAAGGATCTTAGCTGGTACATTGTGAAGAAGCATGGTGATTAAGCAAGATCAGTTTGGATCTGAATGTGAGAACAATCCCCGGTAGCAGGCGGGGAATAGAGAGGAAGGAGGATGGGCATGACTGGGCAGGGAGACTGGGAAGAAGGTTATTGCTGTTGCAACAGTCTGTGATAGACTAAGCACAATGAGGAGAAGAAAGAATAAAGAAGGAGAGAATACAGAAAGCAGCAAATGGGAGGTAAAATGGACAGACTTTGGTGTTTGATAGAACAGGGGAGACAAAATGTACAGAAGACAAGGACCTTTCCTGTCTTATTACTAAGTGTATCTCCAGCACCTAGAAGAATGCCTCATCTAGGGTCTCAGCAAATATTTGTCAAAATGAATTAAAGGGAGAAATCCAGATGGTTCCTGGGTTTCTAGCTGAAGCGGATTGTTTACTATGGCAGTTGCCAACCGAAGAGATACAGGAGGGGAAGACAATGTATTCACCTGTTGGCCACTGTGGGGCATGTTGGTGGTTTCCAGAAGAGCCAAACTATAAGACATACATTATAAGGGAGTGGGGGGTATGGAAGGAAGAAGAGCTAATAAGAGAAATGACAAATATGACTGCATAGGAATAGAGTTAGGTTAGGTTAGAATCACAAGTTGAGTGAGGCATTTTCAAGCTGAAATGTTTGACAGGGTAATTTGTCCAGAGAATTCAATGAGAATGAAGTCTGGCAAAATCAGTGCTCAGCTTTGGAGAACTCAGGGAGGAGTATCATCAGTGTTGGGAAATGAAGGTCCTTTGCCTTTTTGTGTGGATGTGTCAGAGATTACAGGTTGGTTTACATTTCCTTTATATAAACTCTGTGGCTCTGTGCATCTTTGAACCCGAGAAAGATAAAGGGAGCATACAAAATGGTGATTTTAGTAGTAACAACCAAAAAGCAGGTCAGAGATTGATGTTACTAAATAAGAAAAATACCTAAATGTGGACATAATACTGTTAAAAACAATGACTTAGATCATAGTCTCTTATACAGAATAGACAATTGCAAATAGTATTAATAGTAATCATAGTAATTGTTTTTTAAGTTTATTTGTTTTTGAGAGAGAGAAAGCAAGCAGGGGAGGGGCAGAGACAGACGGAGAGAGAATTCCAAGCAGGCTCTGTGCTGTCAGTGTAGAGCCTTACACGGGGCTCAATCTCATGAACTGTGATATCATGGCTTGAGCAAAACCAAGAGCCGGATGCTTAAATGACTGAGCCACCCAAGCATCCAATAATTATGTTTTAAAGTAATGTGTCTTGGGGCGCCTGGGTGGCGCAGTCGGTTAAGCGTCAGACTTCAACCAGGTCACGATCTCACGGTCCGTGAGTTCGAGCCCCGCGTCGGGCTCTGGGCGGATGGCTCAGAGCCTGGAGCCTGTTTCTGATTCTCTGTCTCCCTCTCTCTCTGCCCCTCGCCTGTTCATGCTCTGTCTCTCTCTGTCCCAAAAATAAATAAACGTTGAAAAAAAAAATTTAAAGTAATGTGTCTTTCTTTAATTAATAACTTCATGCAACATAATGATGAATCATCCCAACATATGACATAATGAGCAATAATTACTTATCTTAGTCACTCTCCATATATGGTCTAATTTAGCTGGTCCCTACAGGTTTTGAGTAGTTGCTCTCAAATATTAGTTACATAAAAAGCACTTAATGTGCTTGATAAAATTCTATCTTTTGATTCAAGAGGGTTTGAGAATTAGTATTTTAACAAACACCCTCATGTGATTCTGACACAGGCGTGAAGAGGTCCTACTTTAGAGAAACATGGCCTTAAAAAAAGCTCTTTAGTGCTACTTTCATTTTTTAAGCTGGTGTTCTGGCTCCCTCACGTGGTCCAGTGCGGAAGTGCATATTTCAGAATCCTCATTTTCACTCCTTAGAAGATAGAGCTCCACAATATATCTACCTATTATCTAGCCTTTATTTAGCCTTTCTATAAAGCTAAAAATGCAAGCACAGAGTGAACATTCAGGTCCTTACATGTAAAGTAGATGACTAGAGAAGACCAAACAAATGTCATATGAAAGCTTCCACAATTTACAAATGTTGTGGCCAAAACATTGCTTTGTCTGGTTTTTTTTTTTTGTTTGTTTGTTTTTGTTTTTGTTTTTTTTTTTTTGAGAATTTCAAAGGAATCTCTGTAGAAGAGTACTGAAGAGTTACTTGGTGGGAGCATTTTCATGGACCCAGTGTTAATTCTTTACTTGGTTCTCCCTCTGCATCTTTCAGGATTTAGAAGATTTGTTTTTAAAATGAGACAGACCCAGGGTCTTCCCTGTTCATTTGAATTTTTCATCTGCCAGTATTTTTTTGGGGGGGAGGGAGGTGAGGAGGTGCCAATTAAGAGGATATAATTGATAAACATGTGAGGAAGGATGTATGGAGTAAAGAGGGGTAAAAACTCCTTCTTATTTCCCTTTCTTCCTCCCTGCCTTCTAGCAGTCATTCAACAGATATTTATTAAAACCACCTGAGAGGCTTTATGGGTGGTGTAGTGATAACGGGACACCATTTTTATGAACGAGAAGAGAAATTTAGTAAACCAAAGTTTGTAATAAAGGGTCTGTGCTCTAAATGTAGGGCAGGCTATCAATGCTCAGAGGCAGGGGAGATGGATGGAAGGGGTGGGAGAAGGGTAGCCATTGGGGAAATCCTAATGCAGAAGATGGCATCTGAACTGGAAACCCCCAAGAATGGTTACTTTTTAAAGCCTCTGTGCAACTGTATTGTTGTCTTACATATCATACAATTATCTGTTTTTATGGTGGGTCTTCTATTCATTTATTCAATACTGCTCGTGTGTTAGCCAGTGTGCTAAGTGCGGGTATATAAAGTTGAGGACTGTCTTGTCTCTGTCCACATATAGCTCCCATTCTAGTAGTGGAGACTGACAAAAATAAACTGCATAAAAATAGATTAAAGAATTATAAATTAAGGCATAGACTTTGAAGAAAATACACAAGAAGCTGGGGTACAGGATAACTTGGATGCCGTGTGATAATATCTGTTCTGAAGGTGGCTGGGGAAGGCCTCCCTGAGAAAATGGAAGCTGTCATGTTTACTGAGTCCAATTCTATTTTAAAAACTTTTCTTGTATCAACTATGTTAAGCCTCACAACTCCATTGGAGAGTGTGCCATTACTAAACCCATTTGAAAAGTGAAGAAACTGAGGCACAGAGACATTAAGGAGGAACTTGACACATAATTTGTCAGTGGTGGAGACTGGATCCAAGTCTACACATCCAGGCCCCACAGGCTGCTCAGAGCCATCTCCTGTCAAGGCAGAGGAAAGAGCCTGCACAACACCTCTGAGACAGGCAAGCACTTGGTGGTTCAGGTTCTGGGAGAAGATCTGCAGGAGACGAGCGAAGAGACAGAGAGAGCTTGAGGTTGGAGACAGAGACAGGGGTCTGGTCCTACCCTCTGAGAACAGGGTAAGGAGGTCTAGACTGCATTTTAAGTACAGTGGAAAGTCACAGGTGGGTTTTAACCAAGGTTTTTAAAAAAGTAACTCTTGGTGCAACTTGGAGAATGGACTACAGGCAGGAGACGTGGTGGGGGGACGAGTTCGGAGGAGGTCATACAGTTTGGCAGTAGAGGTGGAGAAGAGATTCAAACAGACTTTGGAGGTGGAATGAACGGTGCTTCACATGATAGAGAGCCCCCGCTGCATCCTTCCCGAAGTGGCTGGAGGCGGACACACCACCCTTCACTTGGAGTGTGGGCTCTTTTCAGCCCTGTGCTAACACAGAGCCCGATTTTCAGCATTAGAGACAGTCACTGAATGAATTGAAAACAACAGAATATGGGAGCACTTAAGTAGCTCAGTTGGTTGAGCATCCGACTTCGGCTCAGGTCATGATCTCAAGGGTTTGTGGGTTTGAGCCGCATGTTGGGCTCTCTGCTGTCAGTGTGGAGCCCACTTCAGATTCTCTGTCCCCCTCTCTCTGCCCCTTCCCGGTTCTCTCTCTCAAAAATAAACATTAGAAAAAAAAAAGAGAACAGAATATGTTATTTACCCTAGCAAAATAGAAAAAAATGGTTCAGAGAGAGGTCTTTTTCTGGTGTAGTATGTTGATTTCACAGATGAGAATACTGAACTCGAAGGTAGGTGCTTAATTGCTTAACTAGTTAGCTGCTGACTTGGGAGTAAAATATATGCGCTTTTCCTTGATCCCACACATGCATAACTTATTTCTATTTGTTTCTACTTGAGACAGACAAATTTAACTTACAAGTTGATTTCCCACCAATTCTAGGGCAATGGAGTACTTTATTACAGGCCGAGCACTTTGTTAATTACTTACTTCTTTAATTTGGAACGGTTTCCTTTGAAGGCAACCATTCCCATTTTACAACACATGGTGAAATGATGTTCTTGCTGGGCAATGCCCTTCTCTCCTTATGTATGGAAAAGGAAGACACAGGAAAGGACAAATCAATAAGCTCACCTTTCACGTGACTTACTCACCATCTCTACCCTCATGTTTGCCTGTAGGAATTCTTGCCCTTGATTATACGAAGTAGCCCTGGTGTGAACAGGGCTTCAGAAAGGGTCAGGGAACTTTGGAACACTGGACTACAAGGAACCTGCTCGAGGCAGAAAACATGAGGAGGCTGCATTTAGGCAAATGTCTCCTTTATCCACAGCCAATTAGGGTATCCATGAAGAATTTCGTATTCCGAAAGGAGCTAAGCAAGTCCTAGAGGGTTCAATTAATCTTACCATGGCCCTTCTGTCCAGTGAAAAATATTAAGTTATTTTGCAGTGCTGAGTGATTATTTGCCAGCTGAAACTTCAAGTGGAATTCATAATCGAAGCCGATGTCCGGGATCCGTGAATAAGCCAGGAATGAAGTGTATCCAAAGGCATCTGTGCCACTGAACCTGGGCTGAGTAATATTAACAGCTGTGGAAAAACCCAAACCAAATAGTTAAAATAAACCTGCACATGTACTTGTAAAAGGAGGGCAATGTTTTGCTGATGCATCTGGCCGGATAGGCTGTTTACTATCACATTAATGAGACTTAAGTGCCCTTCAGCATTGAGCAACTAAGTGACTCAATGGGGAATTTCAAAACCAGAACAAAGAAAGTGCAGTGTTTGAGATCCTGTATATAACCCTTTCCCTTGCATTGCCTTCCTACATAATGAAGAATTTACTTAAAAAGCAAAGCCCTACATTGTAGGGTAATTTTAGAAATAAGAAAGATCAGCAGCAGCCAAAGTATTTGCCAAGGTGCTTTGTAAATATGATTTGGCATTCAAACACTGGCTATGACTTAAACAGGAATTCACAGCTTGACACAAACTGTGCTGTTCTAATCCTGCACTTCTGGAAGAGACAATGCCATACGTCGGGGTGGGAAAGGCAAGACATGGGCAGGAAACAGATCAGTTTCCATCACCATGTTGTTAATGACCAAAACTTTTCTTTAAGCAGAAATCTTTGTTTAAAAAAATATGTTTATTCTTACTCTGTTAAGATGCTTGTTACAAAATGGAAGCATAGACTTCAATAGGACTGAAACTGTAGGGAGATTTAGTAGAAACAGGAAATGGTTAAAAACGAAGTTCAAGAGCCACCGTGGACAAAACAGAATTTAATTGAGAGGTACTGCTAACCAGCTAGGCTCTTTTCGTCCTGCTTCTAATCTTCTTGTCTCCAACTTTGCTCTTTATTGCTGTTTTGTTTGTAAATAGTCCCAACTGGGTTTTATTTCCCCTCTCCGAGAGGACTCTAGGAAACAGGAAGGGGCTTTTGATCCCGATCCCTGTCTGTTAGGGATAGTATTCCTGGATTAAAAGATGTTCCTAGGATTTATTTTTATTAGTTTGAGACAGCTTGATAGAGGGAAGAACTCCTTATTTTGATTACCTTATATTGCTCCTTTCTCAAGAGATATTGGCTCTCCCAGGAAGTTGTAAAACTAGAAGTTTTATAAGCCTTAAGAAATATCCTCACTCTGGTGATGCTTAAAACAAAAGAGCTTGTTATGTCTGGTTATAATTGTTTAAACAGCAAATAACTGTACCATCCTGAGGAAAGTGATCCTACTTATTGGAGGCTTTTATTTCTGTTTGTTTCATGTAACCATTCAAGTAGGGTAATGTGTGGAATCAGCCGAATAAGATTTTGCTAAAATCTTATCTGTTTATTCCTTGGGATGCATGGTCTCTGATGTTATTTTTCTTCAAAAGTCACCAGAATCTGAAGCAAGAATTTGAGACATGGCACATCTTATCTTTATTTTTTAGCTAATGGATGAAGTAATATATAGTTTGTATTCCAGAGACATTAAAGCTGTTCCTATCCGGGATTTCCCTTGGGGTAGTATCGTACGTATAGTAGTTGAAGGAAATGAAATGTACTGGCATTGAAACAAGATAAAAAACTAACAGAGTTTTGATGTTGCCATTAAAAACAATAGAATTCAACTACACTTAATACTAAAATAGAGGAATTTTGTTTTTTTTTAGGAAGGACTTTAAAAAAAACATTTCTTCTTGTTAACAATTTACAACTAGGTCTACTTAAAGTTTTAGTACATTTAGGTTAGATCAAGAGATGTACATCTCAGATGCACCTGTCAGATGCTGTGCTAGATGCTGGTAACACAAAGATAATAAAGCACGATCTCAAATCCCAGGGAACTAGTGTGTGGTCAATTAATTTATCCAAATGAACTGGATGGAAAGTGGAGTTGAAAGGTGATAAGAAGCAATTCACCTGGCATATAAAAAGGAAAGGTCATTTCAGGTCAAAAGAACAGCATGTTTCCAGGTGGGGAGGCCCAAACAGCATGTCATAGAGTATACAATTTTAGAATGAAGTATAAAAAGGAAAAGTAGAAGCGAATGTAATGAGATAGACAGGGGTCAAATTATGAAGGGCTTGATATTTTCTCTACAATCTTTAAGTGGTTGGGCTATGGTCAGAGTTGCCTTTTAGAAATGTCATCTAGTGATGCAATGTGAAGTTTCGATTAGATGGAGAGAGCTGGAGGACCAAACTTGGTTAAGAATGAAATTAGGGGCACACCTGGGTGGCTCAGTCAGTTAAATGCCTGACTTCGGCTCAGGTCATTGTGGGTTCACACCCTGCATCAGGCTCTGTGCTGACAGCTCAGAGCCTGGACCCTGCTTTGGATTCTGTGTCTCCCTCTCTCTTTCTCTCTCCCCACTCCTCCTCCCCTGCTTATGCTCTGTCTCTCTCTTTCAAAAATAAATAAATGTTAAAAAAATTAAAAAAAAAGAATGAAATTAGGACTTTGATGACACCAAGAAATATAACAACGAGTTAAGCTTACACTGAGTTGTAGATGTGAGGAAATTTACAGGTCATTCAAAAAATAAGGGAATGTGTGATATTTATATGAACAGTGAATAGAAATGTGACACAATTTCATACAACTGAAAAGAAATGTGACACAATTTCAAATACTGAAAAGAAGTATAATGTATACTGAAGACTGAGGATAACCATGCCCACAGGAATGGATGTGTCACCTCCCTGGGCATTTCTTAGTCTAAGGCTACACTGTCAAATAATGTAGCAACTCACCACATGTGGTTGTTGTGCATCTGAGCTGTGGCTCAGCTGACTGAGATGGGCTTAGTATGGAGAAAAGAATGTGAAATATCTTATTAATAACATTTTATATGCATTAGATATTGGGTTAAATAAAATATATTATTAAAATGAATTTCACCTCTTTTTACTTTTAAAAATGTGGCTACTAAAAAACAAAATTATAGAGGCAGCATTCAACTGAATAGCACTGCAGAGAGAACCACATATCTCTAGGCAGGTAGGATGTTGCTCTAAACCCTTAGTTGTGATTTACTTCAAGGCGCTTTGTCTTGTGGCAACTCTGAGCCTGTGAAAAGATAGGGCTTCTAAGGGAAAGAATAGGAATCAGGAGAAGGGGCCAAGGAATGTCTAGCCCACTTGTCAAGAGTCCCCTGTGTCCTCATGCACACTGTCTCCATTACACTTGATCAGGCAGGAGAACACCGAGGGACCCAGATTAGAAAAAGAGGGCATTCAACTTTACAAATGATTCTTTTCAGTTCTTGAAAGTAAACCCTTTATGATCTTCAATCAGGCAACATTTGGTTAATTTGATTACTCTATTACACAAATTCCCAGATCAGACTTCTAGAAGTGTCAGTCGTCATCAAATCAGTAGATTGAACAGATTGTAATGAGAATATCTTAGGGCTATTAAATGAATTTTTTTCTTTTGTAATCCCTAGTTGCCTCATGGTCTCCATATGTGAACTTTTGCATTTTTTTCTTCAGTTCTTTTAAAGTTACAGCAATAGATTGGGACCCTGAGGAAGGAAGGGGGATGCTGGGATTTGAGCTAAATATTAATTATTTAGTGTGTGGAAGAAGGGAGCAAAATCAGTAACAGCAGATTGGGATGTTTCAGGCAGTCGAAAAGTCTTATGTATCTCAACATCACCTAGGGTCGTTAAAAATTCTACAAACCTTCAATGATGGGGGAATGTCATAATCTTTTTTATAATATAGCACTTGGTTTTAGGCTCAATTTAGAATCTTTGCACAACATATTACATTATGCTTACAGAATACATTTTAGCAAAAATTACCATAATAGAAAGGTACAAACTTCTGTCTTCTAGAAAATTTGCCACGGCAAAATTTTCTCATTCCCGATCAGGACAGAGAAATGATGCATTGTTGTTTTGAATGCAACTGTATTTTTCTCTCTTTTTAGAATGTTTATTTTTGAGAGAGAGCGAGCACGAGTCGGGGAGGGGCAGAGAGAGAGGTGGACAGAGGATCCCAAGTTGGCTCCACCCTGACAGCAGAGAACCTGATGTGGGGCTCAAACTCACAAACCGTGAGATCATGACCTGAGCCTAAGTCAGACGCTCAATGGACTGAGCCACCCAGGTGCCCCTGTATTTTGTTCTTTAAAAAATATTTTGTAGTTAGTTCTTTATCTGGATTATCGATGTTTTATGCATAGAAGTGACCAAGAAGAGCTACTGGAAGGTGGGTAGAAGACACATATGGAGCTCAGATTGCAGAACACCTTTCAACTCTGCAATCAGCGATGCCTCCTGAAGCCCACTGGCTGGCAGTGACACATGAGGTACTAATATCACCTCACATTTTGAGGAGAGGCCACTGGAGACAGCCGGCTCAGACTCGATTTTGGATTTCCTCACTTTCTATGTAAATTTGAGCAAGTTAACTTCTCTGTTTTAGTTTCTTTGTCTCTAAAATGAGGATAGCTAAGAGTATCCAAATTTTGTGTGAAGAATGAGAAAAGCATGTGGCTTTAGGAAACACATCTGAGCTAACCACAAATCTGCAGTGGGCAAGCCTCTAGTGCATTCTCTGCCGTCCTTTTGACATTTTCCCAATTGAGTCACTAAGGCAACTAATTTACACCTCCTGTTTCCCCCTCTAACATCTAACATTCAACGTCTCTCAATTAACGATCTTGCTTCTTATTGAGAAAAATAAACTCAGAACAGAGAACTACCCCATCTTTCCACCATCAAACCTTCCCCGTCTCAAATCTTTCATTTTAATCCATGTGTTCTGCCTTCTCTCTGGTTACAAAGCTGCCTGCCTGGATATTGGATCCACCCCTCATTTACTCAAGGACGTTGTTTCAGCAATTCTTTCCCATTTCCCAGGAGACACCAAACTCTTCTTCTCTATTGAACTAAACATGCTAAAATATCTCCATCTGAAAAAACTGCTTTTCTCAACTCCACATTCCTCAGAAAAACAACTACTCCTTGTTTTTCTGCTCATCATTCTAGTAAGACTCTTCTAAAGAGTATCTGTGTTGAGTTTTTCTTCTCTGCTCTTTCTTTTCTTCCTTCCTTTTCTTCCTTCCTTCCTTCCTTCCTTCCTTTCT